GGGCCCTGGGCCCTGGGCCCTGGGACTCTCTCCCGGGGCAGACCTTCTGCATCCAGGGCCATCCCTCTTGACGGTCCTGGGGGGCCCAGGGAGGGCCTCGGGGACTTTGTGGGCCCTGGCAACGACAGGGCCGTTTTTTGTTACCGGTTCAGTTTTGCTGTTTTTGTTGCCGGTTCCGACGCCGTTTTTTTGCCCGTTCCGATTTGCCGTTCTTTGCGGGTTCCCGCTCCGGTTCCACTCCTGGGGCCGTTTTTGTTGCCGTTTCCGGTCGCCGGTTTTTTGCCGGTTCTATTTTCAAGGGACTTTTTTTTCGGAAGCGGTGAAAAAAACGGCCCTGCCGTTTCCAGGGCCCACTAAGGCCAGGACCCCAGGTAAGGGGACACGGTTAGTAGTACAGTCGGCCCGGATTCGTAGGTCGACCCTGCCGAATCAAGGGTGTTTTTGTGTCCTGTGTCTCGCGAACCATGCCTCTTGCATTCCTGTGGCAATGTGGCCCTCGGAAGGGTCTTGTGTCCTCTCGCGTGTCCTGTCCAATCAAGGCCGACTGTAGTAGGGCCCCAGAGCCCCTAAATTGGCCAGAATCACTAAACCAGGGCCGGCGTAGCTGGTGTTTTTTTCGGGTGACGGCAGTTCCGGTTGGTGGAAGGGGGCGGGGGGGGGGGCGTCCCCCAGTACACATCACTGAACCAGGCCTCACTCCACCCAGTTCTGCCAACGCCCGAGGGTGTCCGGAGGCAACAACAGGGGCGAATTAGCCCAGGGGGCGAACACTGCACGCGTTCGCCCCGGAGCATCGGCGAAGGCGTGGACCGTAGGCGCCCCTGGATGCACGTGTTGCTCTCCCCTGGGCCACTCGCCCCTGCCGTCGCCCCCGAGGTGTTCACGGTGCGGTCGGTTCGATGGCGTCGCAGTCGGTGGCGTTCGGTTCGGTTCGGTCGGTGATTGTGTCGTTGCCGCGCCGTTGCGCCCTGCTGAGGTGGTTTCGGTTTCGCTGTCGGTTCGGTCGAGTTTCGGTTGTGTCATCGCCATGCACAGGAAGTAGAGAATTCGGAGGGTGCTAGAACCACAACCCTGCCAAGTCGATTGGCGAACTGGTCGTGCCGGTTCTCGGGAGGGTGCCACGGCGCCAGTAGTCAGTTGCATGCGGGCGAGTTTGCTGTCTCTTTCTCTTTCTCTCTCTCTCTCTTTCTCTCTCTCTCTCTCCTGCCTCCTACTATGCGAATGCGCTAAGGGTAACCGGGCCCAGCACAAGCAGTGTCGATCCATAATTTGTGTTCCAAGACGGGCTTTCGCTAGGTAATCGGGGTCTACGGTGACAAGCTCTTCGTCGTAAGAAGGTGCTCTGTCTCCTCGTTATCCATCCTCTCTTGCAGCCTGTCCTTCCGCCTGGCTCGCGTCTGCGCTGTCGTAGTTGTCGCGGCCGTTGTTGCTGGCATCAGACCGACCTCGCCTCTTAGTCGTCGTAGCCGTTCTGGCTATTTTCGGCGTTCTTGCCCGCAGGCTAGTCTGCTTCCCGCCGTAGTTCTTGTATTCGGCGTGGCCGTCATTGCCGTTGGAGTTGGATTTCTGCATGATTCGCCTCGCAGCGGTCGTTGCCGTCGCAGGTGTTCTAGTGTTTACGTCGGAACGCATCGCCCAGCATGACCGCGCAAGAGACCACCGCACCCGGACGTTGTGGACGTTCCTCAAGAATGCCACTGTTTGGGCTGGTGCTTGTTGCGGCTGTTGTTGGCAAACGCTTCCCTTGTTCACGCAGTGTTTGTTCCCGCAAGCTTGCGGCCCTGCCACTTGCAGCGGTTCTCCCGTAGAGATTCGCTCCGATGTGCTCGCGCGGGGCCGAGTGGCGCCTCTGCGCGGCGTTGCCCGCTCGCCACGGCGCCCGCGCACGCCTCTCAGGGGAGCATTGCAGCAGCATCCACGTGGCCGCCGCGGCACTGCAGATGCCCTGGGCGGCGCGCAGCGCACCTTCGCTTGCCGGCGGCACGTGCCCTGCACCAGCGGGTGGCCCCCGCGCCGCGAGGCTTCGCGCGGCGTGCGCGGGCAGAGTCTGCGCGACAGCGCGCCCGCTCGTGCGAGCAACGGGCCTCTGCGTGAGGACGCCTTTTGCCGCATCTTGGGCGTGCCGCCGGGCGTGCTCCCTCAGGGCACGCGAGCCCCCCGAGCCCCGTCGCTCCGTCTGTCCCTGGCTCGGCGCTCGTGCGTGGCAGTTGCTTCGGGAGCGTTGCTCGCTGTTCGCCACTCCCCCGGACCTCTTCCCGTTGCCCCCCCTCCTCCGCTCGCGTGGTGTTTTCGTTTTGATCTCCACCGCTCGCATCTCCAAAAAAGTGGAGGGCCAGCCGGCCAGTTGAGGGTTCGAAAGGGGAGGATCCGCATCCCAGTTGTGCGTAGAGAGACTACAGTGTTTGCGTCGTGCCGGGGGCGGCCAAGAGGGGGGTGACGACTATGGGGGGGTGGATAGCATGGCGGGGGCCATGATATCCCCCCAGATTTCATGGCGCCTCTTCTCATTTCAATACGTGTCCCGCCCCCCCCCCCTCCCTAGACCGCGCACATGCCGCCGGCCATGATTCGCACCACCCCCTCTTGGAGCCCCCCTCTTGAACGCCCCCGATCGTGCCGATCTGCTCGAGGCAAGTCCCACGCACCGTGACTGTTAAGAACTTTCGGCGTGGCGAGTGTTTGAGCGCCGCCAAGAAAACTCGGGGGTGGACAGAACCTCGGCCCTGACACGTCGATTAGTGAATTGTCCATTTTCGGTTCTCGAGAGGGCGCCGCGGCCGTCATTTTCCAGGCTTGCACCCGCCAGGTTTGGGCCCGAGGTCGCTTTCACTAAACAACGTTTTACTAAAGAGGGTTCTGTCCATCCCCGAAAAACCGTAACAAGCGACAGATCGTCGCCCATAGCCGTGCAGGGGCATGTGACGCTTTCTTTCGCGTCGTTTCATGGTGCTTTTTTTCGTCTTCGTCATTGCCCTTTCCTCTCCCCCCTATTCTCTTGTTCTCACCCCCTCCCCCTCCCTCATTCTCTTTTTCTTTTTGCCCCTCTTGGGGCTTTCATGTGGCACCCTCAGGCCGTATTGGGCTGGCTTGCCCTGGGGTCCTGTTGGGCTGTATTGGGGTCCTCTTGGGGCACTCTTGGGCCGTCTTTGGGGCTCTCTGGGGCACTTCGGGGCCATGGTGGGCCGTCGTGAGCTCCCCAGGGGGGGGGCCCGTTGGTCTCGTGCCCAGACATCCGGCTGCTCCAATTCTTTCGATGCGTGGGCCGCAGAGATCCAGACCACTTCCCCAGGGGCGGTTTTTCGTCCCGAGTCGTTTTTTAACGTTCCCGAGGTCCGGCGGGAGCCCTGAGGCCGAAAACGAACAAACACCGCGCGCTCCAATCTTCTTGGAGCGTCGGATCTCTGGGTATGGGGTCGCTCCCGCCTCCTCGACGGTTTTTGTTGCCCTGCCCGCGGACTGCCGAACGCCGTGGCAGCTGCGGGCCGGTGTTAGCAGCAGCGTCGCCGCTCGAGTCCTGGCAGACCACGTGCTGCGCGTTTCCAGTCGCGGTGGCTGGCTGGGGGGCCTCCGGCGCCGCCCCGGGCCGTTTGAGCTCCGGGGACCCCGCTGCAAGAGAGCAGGGCGGACGCACACGCCAGTCATGGCAAGTGGGTATGTTTTTTGACTCCCAGGTCCCAGTCTGCTTCCAGCGCCTTCCTGCTTCAACGTCCCCCCTCTGTGGCCCTCGCCTTGCCCCCCTCCCTCTGCGGCCGCCCGCTCTGCCCCGTGCTCCCGCCCTTGCATGCTGGCCAGTTCGCTACCACGCCGCCCCCTCTTAGTCAGCTCCTGCTGCCAGCGCAGACGACCCCTTGCCTGGCCGCCGACGCGCCAAATCCTGCGTGCTCGCATGCATCCTCTCGCTCCTGTACGAGCCCAGCCGGTGAATTTCCAGATGCCTTGTGGCAAGTACCGCCGCCGTGCCATCACGGCCATCCGGACTGGATCATCCGAGTGGCCGCTATTCGAATGGTGATGACGACGGCAACGAAAACGACAATGACGACGAGGATGGTGATAAGGACGACGAGAATGATGATGGCGTTGACGATGAGGATCTTGTTGATGATGGTGGGCAGGAGGCGGAATAGGAGGAATGCCGTTGCATGTGACGCCTCTGAAGTTCTCTTCTGGGAGCTCATTGGGGCCGCCCCGGGGCTGTCGTGGGTGTGGAGCAGTCTTGGGGGTCTCTTGGGATCCTCTTGGGCAGTCTATCTTAGAGGCCTGTTGGGCTGGGTTGCAGCGACGACTGCCCGAAAAGGCGAGAGTGCCACAACCTGTCTAAAATTGGATGGGAATCGGTAAGTTTGGCACCTTCGGGCCCTCCAGCGAAACTGCGGCAACGCATGGTGTCTGCCAAGTTGTCGTACCATCTACTGATTGGGGTTCCCCCTGATGTAATTACACAAGTCGCAGTGAAGACTCCGTGAATCGTGGTGGAGGTCACGTGGCTCGTGAAGTATACCTCTTGAAGATTTCCACGTCCGCACACAATGTTGGATGCGGACTAAGACGGCCCCGCGGACCCAGGTCGGGAGGATCCCGGGGGCAGCATGGAGGAGGGACGGGGACAGGGAGGAGGGAGGACCAGAGTCGGGGGCGCGCAAACGGATTAGCGATCGATGGATTTGGCGCGCGGTCGCCAAATCCATGGATCGGGGGAGGTGCCCTCCCCAAAATGCGGCCGGTGCCGCCTCGCTCGTCGGCGGAGATCCGCGATTTCCCCTGGAAGCGGGACCCGTTGCTAATCCACGTCCCTTTGCTCCATGTTTACGATCGCCTGGCACAGGCGGAGAGGAGGGCAGGCAGGAGGGACCAGGTGGGAACAAATGGGAACAAGCGAGGGACCAGGTGGGTACAAGGTACAAGTGGGGAACAAGTGGGAACAAGTGAGAAAAAAGCCGGAGCGCCCCCCGCCACTTCTCGAGGCGAAGGCAAAGCAGAGATGCCCCCCGGCCCCCGAGGCCCGCCTCCAGAAGGAGGCCGCCGCCCTCCGCGCCGAGACGGCGGAGCTCCGCAGGCGCGCCGCGCGTAGACGTAGTCGTAGTAGGAGGAGGAGTAGTAGTAGTAATATGAGTAGTAGTAGTAGTAGTAGTAGTAGTAGTAGTAGTAGTAGCAGTAGAAGTAGAAGTAGAAGTAGAAGAAGTAGTAGTAGTAGTAGTAGTAGTAGTAGTAGTAGTAGTAGTAGTAGTAGTAGTAGTGTAGTAGTAGTAGTAGTAGTCGTAGTAGTAGTAGTAGTAGTAGTAGTATCAGTAGTAGTAGTAGTAGTAGTAGTAGTAGTAGTAGTAGTAGTCGTAGTCGTAGTGGTAGTAGTAGTAGTAGTAGTAGTAGTAGTAGTAGTCGTAGTAGTAGTAGTAGTAGTAGTCGTAGTAGTAGTTTCCGTAGTAGTAGTAGTAGTACTAGAAATAGTAGTATTAGTAGTAGTCGTAGTAGTAGTAGTAGTTGTTGTTGTAGTTGGTCGTAGTAGTAATTGTTGTAGTTGTAGCACCAGTCGTAGTAGTAGTAGTAGTAGTAGTAGTCGTACTCGTACCCGTAGTCATAATTGTAGTTGTAGTTGTAGTGGTCGTTGTAGACGTTGTCGTAGTCCCAGTTGTGGTCGTAGTGCTAGTACTAGTACTAGTACTAGTACCCTGTAGTAGTAGTAGTAGTAGTTGTTGTTGTTGTTGTAGGTGGTCGTAGTAGTAAGTGTTGTAGTTGTAGCACCAGTCGTAGTAGTAGTAGTAGTAGTAGTATTAATAGTAGTAGTAGTAATACTAGTGGTCGTAGTCGTAGTCGTAGTAGCAGGAGTAGTAGTAGTAGTAGTAGTAGTAGTAGTAGTAGTAGTAGTAGTAGTAGTAAGATCAGTAGTCGTATCAGTAGTAGTAGTAGCAGTAGTAGTAGTAGTAGTAGTAGTAGTCGTAGTCGTAGTTGTACTGGTAGCAGCAAAGGTAGTCTTAGTCGTAGTCACAGTCGTAGTCGCAATCGTAGCCGTAGTAGTCGGAGTAAGCGTAGTAGTAGTAGTAGAAGTAGTAGTAGTAGTAGTAGTAGTAGTAGTAGGAGTAGTAGTTGTTGTAGGTGTGGTAGTCGTAGTTGCGATCGCCGTCGTAGTCGTAGACATCGTCGTAATCACCGTAGTAGTAGTAGTAGTAGTAGTAGTAGTAGTAGTAGTAGTAGTAATAGTAGTCGGAGTAGTAGTAGTAGTAGTAGTAGTAGTCGTATTATTAGTAGTAGTAGTAGTAGTAGTAGTAGTAGTAGTAGTAGTAGTAATAGTGGTAGTAGTAGTAGTAGTAGTAGTCGTCGTAATCGTAGCCGTAGTAGTTGGAGTCAGCGTAGTAGTAGTAGTAGTAGTAGTCGTAGTTGCGATCGCCGTCGTAGTCGTGGACGTAGTCGTAATCATCGTAGTAGTAGTAGTAGTAGTAGTAGTCGTCGTCGTCGTCGTCGTAGTACCAGTAGTAGTAGTGGTAGTAGTAGTAGTAGTAGTAGTAGTAGTAGTAGTGATAGTAGTAGTCGTAGTCGTAGTCGTAGTCGTAGTCGTAGTAGTCGTAAACGTCGTAGTAGTAGTAGTCGTAGTAGTAGTAGTCGTCGTAGTCGTAGAAGAAGAAGTAGTAGTAGTAGTAGTAGTAGTAGGAGTAGTAGCCGAAGAAGTAGTAGTAGTAGTAGTAGTAGTAGGAGTAGTCGTAGTCCGTCTCGAAGTAGCCGAAAAGTAGTAGTAAGTATAGTAGTAGTAAAGTAGTAGTATGTAATACTGAGAAAATGTAGTAGTAGTAGTCCGTAGGTCGTAGTGGTAAGTCGTAATAGTTTAGTAGTAGGAAAGTTAGGAGTAGTGTGTCTGCAACATAAGTAGTAGTAGTAGTAAGTTCGTAGTAGTAGTAGTAAGTAGTAGCAAAGTAGAGTAGTATGTAGTAAAAATCGGGGGGAAAACCCGTATAGCCGTAGTAGTAGTAGTAAAGTAGTAGTAGTAGTAGTAGTAGTAGTAGAAAGTGTAGTAGTAGTAGTAATAGTAGTAGTAGTAGTAGTAGTAGTAGTAGTAGTAGTAGTAGTAGTGGTAGTCGTAGTAGTAGTAGTAGTAGTAGTAGTAGTAGTAGTAGTCGTAGTAGTAGTAGTAGTAGTAGTAGTAGTAGTAGTAGTTGTAGTAGTAGTAGTAGTAGTCGTAGTAGTAGTAGTAGTTGTTGTTGTAGTTGTAGTAGTATTACTAGTAGTACTAGTTGTACTAGTTGTACTAGTAGGTAGTAATAGTAGTATGTAGTCGTAGTCGTAGTCGTAGTCGCAGTGCGGTTTTTTGTTGCGACGCGGCAGTGCAAGACGGGGCAGGACAAGAAGGCGCGCGCGGCGCCGCGCGTGTCGGACGCGATTGCGGTCGTGCGCTCGTCGCAGGTGCGCGAGAAGTTGGCGCACTTGCTGGTCAAGGGGTCGGGCCCCAAGTGGCGTCTGACGCCCACGGGCCCGCCCCTGGTTATACGGGCCCCTCCCCTGCGGGACGCGCATGACTCAATGCGCTACCGGCTCGAAGTGCTAGGTTGCACCGTCCCTGCCACAGGAAGTGCTGCGCGCCATCATTGGATTTGCTGAGACCTCGATGGAGGCGCGCATCGGCATGGTGAAGATTCGCACGCGCGCCATGCCCCTGGGTGAAGAGGGGGGCCAGGCGCGGCCGCGCGGCCGCGCGGGGGCGCACGGCACGCGCGGCGCTCAGACGCGCACGGCGACTGGCGCGCTGGGGCGCGCGCACAAAGTCCCCAAAATTGCCCCCTGGCGCGGGTCGGTGGGCGCGCCAGGTCGCTTGCAAGTTGACGGAGACGCGGCGCTCGCGGCGATTGCACGACTGCCTGGTGCTTAAGCAGGATTGAAAGATTAAAGACCGCCTGGTCTGTCTGAAGTCCTTCGGCGTTGGTTAAGACTTGACCTCTCGGGGGGGCGGCGGGGCGGCGGGGGGGGGCGGGGATCCAGCGCGGGGTCGGGGCGGTCGGGGTTCGAGCAGACGTCGCCTGGAGCAGCCCAGTTGGAGCCCCATAAGGCACCCCCCTACCCTGTTCATGGTTTTCCTACTTGAAATGTCCCCCCCCCCCCCCCCCTCCTACTCGTCGCCCCTCCACTCCTCCCCCTCTCAGTAGCTATTTGGGTCCGGTTTTCAACCATGAAGCGCCCGCTTGCCAGTCCCGTCGACGGGGTCGACCATGACTCGAAAGCTGCCCGGCTCCGACGCGGATCGCCAGTGTCGTCATCCCCCCAACTGCCGAGCTCGACGGAAACGGCTAGCTAGCCCACAAGAGTTCCCTTGCTCTGACACTGCGTATCAACATGTTGATGTGATCTCTATATCCAGCGATACGATAGTTGACAGCCCGTCTTTGTTTGTGAAGTATGGGAATGAGAAGGATGTGTTTTGGATTCGGCTGTACCGGTGGGAATTGCGGACTTGGCCGTGGAAACATGTATTCCCTGACTTAGTTGAAGAGTACTTGGAGAACCTGTCGCACAGCGAGGACCTTCCGTTCACTGAGTGAGCTTCCTTAGATAATGTTGAGGATGTCTTGAACGGGCGCAGCGACGCTGAGAAAATGTTAAGGGCGACGTGGCCTCTAGGCGGGGGCACAATATATCATAGCAAAGCCCAGCATAGCATAGCATAGCGCAGCATAGCATAGCGTATCATAGCGCAGCACAACCAACCCATCATCCATCGCCCATGCGAGTTGAGACGATCAGGGAAGTGTAGGAACAGGAGGAGGAGGAGGGCGAGGTGGAACAGGAGAAGGGGAAGGACTCCAGGAGAAGGAAAAGGGGGATCGGCGAGGCTAGGCGTTAAAAGAGGAGAAGTAGGAGGAGTAGGGGGAGGAGGAGAAGGAGGAAGAGAAGGAGGAGAAGGAGGAGCAGGAGGAGGAGTGACTTGATGACGATTCAAACAGGGCGGGTTGGAGGGTCTTAGGGGGGAGGTTGGGAGGTCTATATTGGGTCCAATGGCTCAAAAAAAGGATGCGCCTCAATTAGCATCGCCCCCCTCGGATGCTCTCAGACGGCTTATTGGGGCCCTCTTGGAGCGCTCTTGGGCGCTTCTTGGGCGATGTTGGGGCCGTCTTCGGCTTTCGTTGGCCCCTCTTGGGCTTCTTTTGGGCCATCTTGGGGCCATATTGAGGCTTCCCAAACCCATCGGAAGCGAAAAGGCGTCAATGCCAATTACCCCAGTGCGACCCTACCTCGAAGTTGGAGCCCCTAGGGCAGCAGCATTAGTTGCTATGTTATGCTATGCTATGCTATGCCATGATATGCTGCGGTATGATACGCCATGCCCTGCGATGTTGCGCTATGCTATGTTATGCAATGGTGAGCTATGATATGCTATGCTAAGTTGCGCTATGCTGTGCTATGCTATGATATGCTGTGCTGTGCTATGTTATGATGTGTTGGTGGGGGTACGTGAAGCGCCAGGAATAGGGATTTCTGTTTATGGCCATGTAAACGTCGGTATTGTCGGCTCCAAAATATAATCCAGACCCCTCCTCCTCAAGCACCCCCACCCTGCCAGGGGAGACCGCGAGGGGCGACGGTCGCTCGGGGGCCCGCGATTCGGGCCCCGCCGTCGGGAGAGCCGCGACGGCGGCGACGGCGACGGCGGCCACAACCAACAGGGGTCGCCCTGTATGTGCGCAGTTATTCCATATTTGAGTTCGTGGATTCATGGACTTCAATGGCTGGCTATTCTCGAGGGGGGGACCCGTGGCGCCCATGCGGGTGGGCACGATCCCTAAATGGCGACGGAGCGTGCCCCCCCTCGAGTATTGTCTCTCTGGGTCTTACTGTGCATTTGTTCTGGTAACGAGTCTTAGGCAGGTTTTCTTGGCAATGAATGAGAAGTACCCTGTTGAACTATTGAGTATGAGGGACGTGCTCGTCTGGTGGTCTTTGCGATGCGCACTGCAGTCTGGAGGGCGGTTCCCCCGGCGGCATCCGCCCGGCGGTTCCCCCAGTTGCGCCCCCTGGGTTCACCCAGCTTAGCTTAGCTTAGCTAAGCTTAGCTTAGCTAATATTATCTTAGCTGAGCATAGCT